GTTTTGTTCTTTCCCTTTGTCTGAAAGCTGGTCTCATCAATGTTGTAGATGTCGCCGGCTGTACAAGTAAAACCGAGGCAAGCCTTCATGAGGTCAAAGAAGCATCATCTGACACCCTCACGAGACACAGCGTTGCGTGGATTGCTTAACTTCTGGGCCACCCGAGCTGACAGATCAGCATGCCGATTTTCGAATCGAGCGTACCAGCCACGTCCAACGGAGCGCGGAACGCCGAACAGGTGCGACAGTATTTGTTTCGCCTTGATGATGATTTCATAGCGCTCAACAGGCCAGCCAGCGCGTTGCATTGCAGCGATCCACGACACCAAGTCTTGTTCCAACTGGTTTGGCATTAGGGGTTTTAGTCCTTGTTTGCCGATCGTAATTGTAGTCTTCATTTTCATGCACTTATATATCGTTGTACGTTTCAATGGCGAACTACGAGCTACGGCTTGAACACTCTCGCCTTGTTCGATGCGACTCAGCGCGCGATGTATGTCGTCAAGCGTTGGCGCCATTGACGAGAAAAACACGTTTTGGGCCATAACTCAGTCAATGTCCTTTGGCTCCTCATAACTCAGTCAATGTCCTTTGACCTTCAAATTGGCGTCAATCGATAGAGCGAATCAAAAAGAAGATTTTGAGCCTTATTTGAAGAGAATTGAGTAAGAATTGACTAAGTTATGACCATTTTACGTTGGTGGTGGCGAATGATAATTTTAATGATCATTATTGCGATTGTAATTGTGTTGAAATTGGTGAAGTCGCCCTGAAGTGGTGAATAGAATCATAGCCAATAGAATTTGACCTGCTCCAAATAGAGACTCTTCATTGGATAAAACTCGTGTGTCCGCGGTATTGATGCAGTTCGGGATTTCGATGCATTACCTTACTGGAAACCGATGAACAATCCGGCCCGCGGGACTGCTACCCAGCTGATGGCCGCGTAGCAGAGTCAAGCGTGAGCTTCCGCGTGTGCAATACGAGCCGCGGGGGCCGTTCGTAGGCCGTACGTGTCGTAGATCGAGTGCGGGCAACACATCCATCCGCTTCATTCTGTCGTTTATTGAATGGTTCTGTATCCGGATATATAGCACATGAGAGGTCAACTCGACAGCTTCGATTCCAACGAACGCACCACTAGAAAATGGCATCACCCAGCCCTGCTCCACATGCCATTCTCCTGGATAAATTCAACCAAGTGTTGGCGTTCCGCAGTGTATCCGCCTTCGGGACTCTTGGAGTCGCAGACTTCTTGGGCGCCCACGGCCCCTCCTCGACCGCCACGATAGCGGCGGCACTGCAATTGCATGCGTCTGCCCTCTTTCGTATGCTGCGCGCATGTGCCAACGTCGGTTTGGTGACCCAGTCATCCCCTCATGAAAAGGACGCGGAGTTTGAGCTCACCCCAATTGGCAGCTGCCTTCAATCGAACGTCCCAGGCTCGCTCCGCAGCGTCCTCGACGCGTGGGCTCAACCGAGCCACTGGCAGGCGTTCCAGCATTTTGAGACCTCCATCAAGACTGGCCAAGCAGCCACCCATGCAGCGTACGGATCTGATATTTGGACGTATTACCAGCAACGCCCGCAAGAGCAAGCGACGTTTGCGGCCGCCATGTCAGACTTGTCCAGGTCTGCTATCGCCCCAATTCTGGCGGCCATTTCCCTTTCGAATGCGTCCATGATTGTCGATGTCGGTGGCTCCCACGGGGACCTTCTCGCGGCAATCTTGACCAAGGCGTCACCTCAAGCTCGCGGCATCTTGTTTGACCTCGAAGATGTCATCGCGACAGCACCCGCCGCCTTGGCACAAAACGAAAACGGCCACCAGATCACGCCGGTCGCTGGAAACTTCTTCGACTCGGTGCCGAAAGGGGATGTGTACTTGCTCAAGCACGTTTTGCACGATTGGAGCGATGACGAATGTGTTGCCATCCTGAAAACCATCGCTCGCCATGCCCCTCGCGGGGCGCGGGTGCTCGTGATTGAGCTCGTACTAAGCTCGACCGTTGAGCCTGCCGCTGGGATCGGAGGTCTGCTCTCCCCCAGTATCTTCATGGACGTTAACATGCTTTCGTTGAGTACCGGGCGCGAACGCACGGCAGAACAGTACGCCGCACTGTACACCACGGCCGGGCTCCACTTTTCAGGTGTTACGCCAACTCCGTCGCCGTACGCCATTGTGGAGGGCACTGTCGAGTAAGTGACAATCTAACGTTAGCGCGATTAGATTTGGTTTGAAACGTAGACTAACGTTATAAAAGGTCTTAAATGCCCGTTGAATCTGACATGCGTGGACCAGCGATTACCTTGTCGGCGGTACATGTGCATAATCCGAGATCACTCCCAACTATTCAATCATAGATTGTTTATCTAGACTGGAAGTCTGCAATGTCCTCCTGAGCGCCTCCATCGTTTGTGTAATGTGGTGTATTCGAAGTGTCAATATTGATCGTGTGATTTTGATATCGAATTTTGTGCAGTTCATGTAGCGCGACATGCAGGCCT